AAATTCAGTAGAGTTGTTGATTGTTAGACACAGACATATGCTTGTAGGATCAATGTATTGGAAGGTTATTTTTTCTCTGTATAGAAGAAAGAATATAAGATCGTTCAAGGAGACTTGGTGTATATAGCTATCATTACTACAAATACGTTCCATACTCAAACCAATAGTGATAGAATGTACCTTATGCAGCCACTTTGCTGAGGCATAAAGTACGGCCTGCACAAGGTCGTTTCTTTTCAGCAGCAAGAGTCTTGGCAGGCACAATGTTGTAGGATAGTTTAGCAACTCCATGTAGATCCATATAGCATTTAAAAAAATAAGATCAGAATGGTAAATAAAAAAAATAATCATAAGAGTACAATTAACTTTGTTTGATAGCATTAGTTGGCACCAACACCATGACTAAATTTGCTAGGGAAATACTGCAGGTATATGAGCAACTACTTTACCTCATATATATAACCTCAAAGAGCTGAATAATTTATCGTCGTAGAAACTAACCTAATCAAGCCTGCGATCACGTCAATGAAGGTAAAAATCTGATTTCAACTATAAAGAAGTTAACAGAAATAATTATTTAGGCTAAATAATAACTCCTTTCCGGTGCGAAGCTAAGGACACATTTGTAGGACATAACCATAGCATCTTTTTTTAAGCAAATCTAAGCAACTAAATAGCTAGTGTGAAGTTGTGTCATATAGTACTGCAATCTGACACTTAAAACCTACATGATCACAAGATCTTATGAACAGAATACATTGGGTTCATGTGCTTCAGTGTTCTCCCGCCTTGCCAACATGCCATCAATATATAAAAAAAAGGACAGGATGAATGAGCAGGAAATGGAAATCAGCAATATTTGTAAAACGAAGTGTACATATGCTTTTGCAAGAGAATTAAAGTTTGAATCTGAATTCCCCTTTTTTCACAGCAAGAAACTAAAGCTATTCCTTGTTCATTGTTGACAAAACAATAAAGTTCATCCTACGGATTGACACTTAGGGAATAAAGTTCCTCCCTTTAGCTCATAGGTTGAAAAATCAAAACAAAAAGAAAGAGGTGATATTAGCAGTTACCTAATCTCTACGAAAGCAGAGGAATAGTGCAAGTTGGAAGTCGCATCGCCTATTTTTACTGTATTGCTTCATTGCGTCATCCACCTATGCTTATAAATCTTATTTGGAAATGGAAAGTAACTACGTAAATTGACAAACCAGCAAGGCAATTCATAAAGAGTGATCAACAAAAATCAAGTTGTAATCCAGTAATGCAAGCTGCCACTCGAAGTAAAAGCAACTAACTAAGGTGAGGTAGGTGGCTAAAATGTAGAGCAGATCTTTGAGAACTATGCTCTAACACAAGCAAACTGATATAGAGAGGATGGAACCCTGTCATGAAAATATAACTATAAAAGGGCTATGGCATATATAGATCAAGACTAAGCCATCTTTGCTTGTAGTTTATATTGTTTCAGTTTAACTATAAATAGCCTCTCAAAATGTGCTACTTTACCTTGGTCTAAGAAATGCAGGATGGAAGGGGGAGGAGGGAAGGGAGAGCAGCAGTATTAGTATGGGTTACCAGGAGATAATTTTTTTTAAAGAAAATCAAACAAGGGGAAAGGGGAGGGAAGGAGAGCAGCATAAAGATGCATTCCTGAAACATGATGTCCAGGTTGTGCACTGATATGTTAAAAGATGGCAGAGGAAGCCAGAATGGCCAGTTTCTGTACATAATTAAAAGATGTTAATGCATACATGTGCTAGCAGTACCATGGAAACACTGACTTGAGTGTCGTCCTCCAAAATATATAGGTATAATACAATCCATATATAGCAGTTTCAGGATACGCATGACCATAGATATGTATGAAAGAAGACATCATCTTAACATCAATGTTTGATAGTGTTTCAAAAACCCAGTGTTTATGCAAAACAAGGATTGGAATATTATGAAACTGGCATGGGATGCCAAGCAAGCACTGGTATGTCACCCTAAAAAATACCAAACCGAACCCTATCAATCCTCATTGTATTAGAGTGCAAGTGGCATAAGCTGCTTCCTGTGAGGAAACTAAGTAAGATAAAAAGTAAGTCCTTATTGACCAGTCATACTAATTTCATTGGACCAAAATATGCAAGTCAGCATAATGACCATTTATTTTCTGAGCGCCCAGCAAGGATCAATCACAGGCAGCGCAACAAAAATGTAAGTGACAGATCATAATAAAATGCGAGCCTAGGAGGAGAGGCGAACCTACGGGACTAAGCCGCGTCGGGGTGGCAGCCACGGCGGCGGCCACCTGCGGGGGGCAACGGGGGCCAGCTCGCGGACGTGTGCCACCGTCCAGCCCGTGCACCGGCCATCGTGGAGGTCTGGTTGCGCCGCCGACCTGCCCGCGCGGCCGTGGGGACGACCGGCGACGGAGGGGCCAAACCCTAGGCCGGTGTTCGCGCCGCTGCGACCCGCTGCCTTGCGTCGCGAGGAGGAAGGGGCGTGGTGGTGGTGGTGGTGGTGGTGGTGGTGGTGGAGGAGGAGGAGGAGGAGGAGGAGGAGGAGGCCGCCGCATGGAGGGCCGGCCACCACCGAGGCCGACCCGCGCCGTCGTCGGTCGCGTCGCGTCGCGACTCGGGAGCGAGGGAGGGAGCGTACAGGAGACTGGGGAGGGGATGAGAAGTTTCCTGAAGAAGAATCAGGAGCTAGAGTATATATTTGTTCCACCGGATTCGCATGAGAAGCCGCAGAAGCTAGCAAAATGAACCCAGAGCGACGAGGAGCCGGCAGAAGCAGATTCCAACAGAAGCGGCTACAAGCAATCTAGGTCACACGATAGAGGATCGGACGGCTGGAAACAATTCGGGTGACGTTGTTCCTGGCGGCCAAAGTAACTTGCTTTGATATATTAGAATTAGCTTAAAGTTACTAGGAGACTGCTGGTTTTCAGTCACATAAAACCAAGCTACAATTAGCAGAGATTTCTACTAATATTCGTAATTGAGATTTTGAAGACTTGCTTTTTTTTTAAATTGGCACACAATGCAAGAAAGTGAAAGCGCAGGGTGGTCTGGGCACCAGACAGCAGTACACCTCATCAGAGAATTTGATTAGCTCTTGATAATATGAGTATCCAGCAAAGCACAGATCAGCAGAGCTTTCGGTTGCAGTACAGTCTGGTTCGATGAAACCACTGCATGCGTATCGCATATATGATACATCCGACGGCCAAGGGGATATGGCTGTCAGTTTTCTTGTTTGGTTCTTGGCAAATTTGTATTGAACTTCTTGGAAAAGTTCAGTCTGCTCAACGATGTAAGAGTACAGAATAGAAACGGCAGGATGTCACAAAGATAGTCAAATTGATCTACTGATAATAGTACAAGCGAGGATGCCCTGTCACATACAGGTATTTTACTTGAAGCCACAGGCACCATAATTACTGCAAATGTGGCGAAGCATGTACCTGAAGATTCAGAAAACGACAGCTACCTCTTAACTTCATTCTTTTTTCCAAGCCATACTACTAATTCTACAAAGATTAGCTGTGTGTATTATTGCCTTCTTTTGGACTTTATGCACGCTGTCAGGTAAGATTCTCCTGTCCTGTGTTCAGTGGCAACCAACTAGTTCTCGCTAATGATTATTGGACACATGACAAATATGTCCTTGTGGACTGTGTGGCGCCATGGACATTTCAAATTTCAATATTTCATACATGCAAGTTTGGCTGACCGGATCCAAATGAATATCGTGCAGTTTATCGGATGCTCTGACAATTAATCTGCTCGGTTTGACCATGATAATTCAGGAAAAAAATAATCTGCAGCAGAAGTCTCCCAGGACAACCTGTTTGAATTTTCTCCTTCTATATTCAATTCAGTGAGATACAAGGCACTATGTTGTGCTTAAAAAGAATACTGCAGCAAAAATAAGCAGAATGAGTTATTCTCCCTTACCAATGATGATATCAGCTCAGTGGCATCCTATTCTCCAGTTTCATGATCGTCTATCAGAGAACCCATACCTTTCATGTCTGTCCCTTACTGACACACGGCATACCTAGCTTGACTAAAATGTTTGGAGTCACCATCGTTTTTTTTTATTTTTCGAGTCACCATCTGATGTATCGCTTCTCTTATAATCCGTTTTTTTGAGCTTGTTTTTAGCCAGAACAGTGTTTTTCTCTCACAACAAATCAGCCGGAACAGTGTTTTGGCTTGTTTTTTCAGCGAAGCGAACGGGGCCAAAGGTACCAAAACCTTGTGAGCTTGGAGTTCAAGGGAGCAGTGCAATCGTTAGATCTTCCTTTTTCTTGAAGGTAACTTCATGGACAGTTACCAAATATATAGATGGATATGTTTCAGGGGCATGCTAAAATTGAACTGTAGATTATCCACAGTTTCAAGATTATTCTATGAAGCTTCTCGCTGAAGAACAAAGTGCTCTTTGTGCAATATGCTTATCGTTCTAGATAGCAGTATACTCCCTAGCCCTTAGGGCATCTAGTTCTGATCCCCAGCTATCCCTCCCCACATCCTCCTGCAATTTTAAAAGAGCCACACCTTTTGTTTTGTTGTGCAGTTTCTTCAGTAGCTCTCTGTCTATCTATAAGCACCCTTGCTCTTCAAGGAACTTTAGCTGCCTGCAAATCTTACCACTTGTGCAGCTCTGAAGACCCTTGGAAGGAAACATGGTACACACATGGACTTTACTAATATTCTGTTCGTTTGCTTTTTCATTCTTGCAGTTAGGAATCATCTGAATTTTTACGTCTTTCCTGCATACCTCTGTGTGCCTATGTTCAGACATAAACTGCCGAAACTTTTTTTTTTCCTTTGAAAGAGAGGAACTAACTAGGGCATTTATGCGATTGCCGGCCTGAACATTTTATACAAATTATACTAAGATCGAAGCATACAGGATTTGCGAAAGGGGAAATGTCCGAAATAAATAAATAAAAACTTGAATAACTTTTGCTTTGGCAGCAGCAACCTCAGAGGAAGATGGTGTTGTCGAAGAAGCTGATGAAGGTTGGGCCATGGGGTGGCACCGGGGGACACCCGTGGGACGACGGCGGCCACTCCGGCATCCGCAGCATCACCATGTCCTACGACCGGTGCATGGAATCCATCAGCGTGGAGTACGACAGGGACGGTCTGGCCGTCCCCGGCGAGCGGCACGGAGGCGCCGCCGCCAGCCACACGACTCAGGCACGTTCACGTTCACCGCCGTCAGTCTGTCAGTCACAGTGACACAGCTCAGCTGGGTTTCTGAAGTCTGAACCGTGCTCGCGTACGTACGCAGATCAAACTGAGCTACCCGGGCGAGTACCTGACCACCGTGAGCGGGCACTACGCGCCGATCGCGCACGGCGGCTCGCCGGTGATCCGCTCGCTGGCGTTCCGGACCAACCAGAGGGCGTACGGGCCGTTCGGCGCGGCGGAGGGCACGCCGTTCTCGTTCCCGGTGGAGGGAGGCGTCATCGTCGGATTCTGCGGGAGGAGCGGCTGGCAGCTCGACGCCGTCGGCCTCTACGTCGCGCCGTTGCGCCCGGAGACCATGTACGACAGGGTGCAGAAGCTCGGCCTCACGGCTTACCGGGCGGTTTGGCAGCGGATAGGGTCCCAGCAGCAGCAGCATGATCCGGTGAAACAGCTGAACGGCAACGCGCAGATTACTCACAAGACATGACCACTTGCCAGCCAAGCCTATTTTTGAATCTATGCAGTTTGAATGTATATCAGCTCCGATCAAATAAAAAAAGAATGTATATCCAGCTTAGCGTATGAATCTAGTGTGCTGAACATGAAGTGCTTGATATGAACACTTTCAGAGTTTCGGTAGAAGTTATCATGACTTGAATTTTAGCTACCTCATCCTCAACTGGCTAAACATGCAGCTTACTGTCCTCGGCGGAAGGTCCATCAGCATCAACGACCTTGACACTACTGCCGTGCTAGGCCTAGGCTGCTCGCGACGTCTAAAACGGTTAGCCCAAACAATTCATTTCCATGCAAGAACTCTGGCTATCGTTTCTTCGACGATGCTCAGTTTGGCGTCCAAGCCATCGGTTCACCCCAAGGTCGGCCAAGCAACGTGGCAAGCCTGCTACGCAAAAAGGGTAGCACGGGGGCCAAACTCTGCCTATACACATTAAGGCAGTACACCACTCGGCGAAGCAAATGGAGGGCACAGTCAAATGGAGATGCAAAGCCACAATAGGCTTGACAAAGCACCAGACTAGCCTGTCACAGAACCCGTACAAAAACCAATAATAGGGGCAATCACTACACCAACAAGCTTGCAAACAAAGCAGTAATGAAGTGCCAAGCAATTTTGTAATGGAAAGACAGCAACAAAGCGGTAATCATCAAGAGCCAAACAATTTTTGTTATGGAATGACACACAGCAGCATCTTAACATGGTTTACTTCTAGTTCTAACAAGTCTCACTTCAAGTCTCAAAACTGTTGGAACATAGATAAATATAAGCTGGGACTATGAGCACCAAAAGGCCCCCTTGACAGAACACAAGCTTAGTGCTTAGGCTGCCTGTTCTTCTTCTTGACACCAGACTTGGCGACCTGGAGGCTGTGGTAGACAGAGCTCAGCCTAGCAAGAGCCGGCTTGGTCAGATCAGGCCTGTAGTAGTTGTCGCTAACCTGCATGGCGAACAAAATGCAAATTAGAATATTAAGCAATTATATGGTACCAGCAAGTTCAAACAGAATTGGCAATCCTAGCGTGAAGAAACTGAGCACCGAGTATAATTAGCATAACTTCTCTAATAAAGGAAAAAAGCAGGACCTCAATCATACAAGAAGATTTGAGTAATCTGCAAGATCAGCTCAGAAGCCAAGCGTATCAGCTTATATTTCATCGAAGAACCAATTGATCGGTTGGTTTTCTCACAAGTTATGGCTCATCACAGCTAAACCTTGGACTAGCAATGGAACCCAAACATATAAAAGAGAATTTATCTAACGAGAAAAACTCACATGGCACCATACAAACCAACAGAACAAAAAAATTATCTTTCAAGCAAACAGATGATGTTAAAAACAATGCTAAATAAACAGTAATATGAAACCGATATCCACAGTATGCAGCTCAGAAGCCAAGCGTATCAGCTTATATTTCATCGAAGAACCAGTTGATCAGTTGGTCTTCTTACTTGTTATGGCTCATCACAGCAACAAATTAACATGAACTAAGTGTGAAAACAATATTCAATACATAAAGCAAAGAGCTGTGTGTTGCCATATATAGCATGACAAACATTGCCAATTACCGTAGAGACAAACATAATGCATTTCCATGTGCTAGTACCTGGTTTTTCACAGCCTTGGCCATTTTGCGGAACTCCTTGCGCATCACAGACTTGTGGCTGAGCTTCGCAGGTGTGTTCTGCTTCTTGGTCTTGGTAGTAGAGAGGACCACAGCCGAGTCCTTTCCAGCAGCTGGCTGGATCGTCACGGTCTTCTTGTTCGCCAAGCCTAACAGAACAAAATAGCCAAAGCAGTCAGCACAAAGTCATTTATTATTTATTACTAAAATCACACAAGATGTCACCTAAATCCAGAAACTTTGAAGGAAACAGCATACCAGAGTGCTTGTAGGAGTGGACGTTGTAGAGGTTGTTGGGCTCCTTGGTGAACTGCACCTTGGCATTGCCGTTGCCAAACTGCTTCACAAGGAAGGAGTTGTTCTTCCTCACAACCTGCCAGATCAGATCCCCTGGAACGGTCGCCATTTCCCTTCGCCTAAACAATCAATATCAACTGCCAAATGTGAGATTCCCTAGCAACATTACACAAGGAGAAAAATAACCATCTGACCGTCACCTGACCATCTACGGAAGACTTAGGATTGCAAGAGGACGGCGGGAAACTTACAATTGCAAGAGGAAGCTATAGGCAATTTTTAGCTAGAGCTGGACATTTGACTAGGTATTTCTAAGACGGATAGCCCTACGCACTATGTCTCTACCAGATCTAACTGAGCGAAGAATAATCAGAGTGCAAAAAAAAGATCGAGGAGGCTACAGCTACCTAAACAACGACGAATCATGTACCCTTAGCCCCACAAAACCCCAGCCGAATCACACAAACACTTCGATTGGTGATGTACTAAGCACGGTGATGACCGCTAAATCAGCATCAAGTTGAACCGCCCAAACTTTACCACGAGATACGGGCGAGAACACGCTACCGGACCTAACAAATCATCGTCGCATGCCATGAGAGAAGCGACTTCACTTACCGGAGACGAGATGCCGCTGCGTCGCCTCGCTCTGCTCCGGGGTTGGGGTGGCGGCTGCGGGAGGCCAAGCGGCTCGGAGCCTCGCCTGTTTTATACCGGGGGCGTGCTCGTAAACCCTAGTTTCTAGCAAGCGCTTCATGGGCTTAATTGGGCTGCACGGGTCGAAGCACCGGTCCAAAAGCACCTGCACCCCTCTCGTGCGCGCCCGATTGTCTCACCGTCACAGCATATGGCCCACGCACGCGCCAGTTCCGCACATCGCCGTCCCTGCCTTCTACCGTTCTACAGCACCAGTGCCGCGCAGCATGGCCTCTTGGGCACAGGCGCCCTCTGTTCGCTGAGCTTATAAGCCGTACTTTTTTAAAGCAATAAACAGTATTTTTTCTCACAACAAATTAATCGATCATACTTTCAACTATAACTTATCAACCAAACGAATACAACAAAGATTGCCGACGACTGGCCGAGGTCGGAGACGTCAGGTGGGATGCTCGAGAACCATGGAGCCAGAAGCGCGGTCAACGTCACACGGCGTAGACAAGGTCAACGTCACACGGTGTAGACAAGACTACAAGCGCAAGCGCCAGGTCCAGCACTCATTACGGAGAGTAGACACAGCAAAGATCAGAAAACTAGACGGCTCTTCTGGGAGATCCTTGATGAAAGGAAATAACACAGTTCAAAAGGTGTTGATGACATTCTATCAACCTTTGTTTTAAGGGGGGAAATTCCAAAACTGTCACATTGCAGTATATGTGATTCGGGTACAATGATTATTCCGCGGACACCATCTAGAGTGGAAGACCATGACTCTGGGAGATCCTTCCAGTCTGGTCGCCAGAAAACATGGAGAAGAAATGTGGGACAACATTGACGAGAAAACAATGCAAGTTCACTACTTTTTCTTGCCGGTGACACCTGCAACCACCTGCAAAATAACAAAAGATTAATCCTTGTCTCAACCATTTTAAATCACATGAATGATAACAGCATCTAACCACCCGATGGAAGAAGCACTTTGGCTTCACTGTACTGTACGAATGAGATCAAAATAATGGCAAGTTAACTTATGACAATGCTCGAGTTGACAACACAGGAATGCAATTATGCAACATGAAGTACCAACAGATGCCCTTGTGGCCTTGCCCCTCAGGCAATTTACTCTGAGGTACCAGTAAAACATTTAGAGCTCATTTTATGGGACTTCTTTAGCCAGGTTAGCATGAAGTGACCAAATAGGGAGTCTTTTTTTTTCTAATGAAGATGAATAGGAAATTTATATGCTAAGGAAATAAACATTCTGAATTGGGAAATGATGAGAAATTGAAAGGAGGCAATGTTTATCGTTTATATGATCTTGAAATAGCGCACATAAAACAACCCAAAAAGAGGGAAATCACATACATCATTTAGAGGTGGTGGAGGAACTTTTTCCGCGGTCTCCCATGAATCCAGGATTGGGCGGACAACTGCTGGAAGAAAGAGACCTGAAATTGCACATTATAAGGTTAGTTGAAATCATTTGGCAGAAGGAAGACCAACAGCAGGTTGCTAAGTTTTCCCCAATAGATAATTCCAAAGGTTCAGGCAGGCAAGTCAGAAAAACTTAGGAACCAAGTTTGTTCAAATGTGTCTTCACAAAACCAATAAAAAATGCTCTTATTTCTTTCTGAAATGTCAACGCACACAACACCACTTCCTATCCGTTTGTCCCCTACTAATCACTGTAAAGTGTCAAATTGCACAAGAACATTTTGGGTCATGAGTCATGACCATAGCAGGCCCACTACTTAAATTGCTATTTTCTATGCTTGATATTTAAAATACAGTTTATGATGCTCCATAAATTTGAACTACAGTGGTTGGCAGCAAAAATTTATCCAGTTGCCACACAAAAATGTTGACCTGAGATGCACTCTATCTCATGACCAGCATGTTCAGGGTAGGAAAATGCTATTACTTAATCAAACTTGATAGCAAGGGATTGTGAAGGATAAACTCAGGCAATCTATTGGTATTATGAATATACAATGGTATAAAAAGGTTAGATTCAACTAATGCACACAAACTTTTCTAGCCTACAAAGCCAAACGTTTCTCTTAATCATGGACAATTTTAGGTGCAATCGGAATTCTCAGAAATAAGCATAATTACCCATTCAGACAACAAGTAAAAAGTAAACTTGACAGAGCTATTCCTTGTACTATCCAAGTGAATGGATCCACAAAGCAGAGTTCATATATCATGTGGCCTCAACACTTTTTTTGGTATGCATTGGCCAATATCTACAGGCTATATTGATTTTCAATCTCAATTTGTTATTGGTAGAGACCTCTTTGCTGGCAATCAAATCTTTTCAAATGCCACTCAAGTTCATAACCCATACCCTAATGCGGTCTACCTCTACAAGCAAAGCAAGGAATCACTTTTTAACACGATTTTCGAGGAAGATGAGAAACTTAGCATAACCATATTTCAGAGGGAGAAAATAAGACCTCTATGGCGCTCATCTGTGCAAACAAAATACAGTGGATTTCACATAGAACATTTTCAGACAAATCAGAAATGGACATTTAAATAGTGAATATAAAGGGGGAAAACTAGTCACATTGAGAGTAGTCCAACTTTGTCTTCAATTAGAGCAAGCTTCTCGACTTTTTTTGTACTTAAGAGTACTCCTACTCCCTCCGTTCAAAACATTCCAAATTGTAAGTCATTTTAGTTTTGTCCTAAGTCAAACTTCTCTAGCTTTGACTAAGTCTGTAGAAAAATGCACAAATATTTACAAACATCAAATTAATTCATTAGATACACCATGAAATATATTTTGATAGTGCATTTATTTGATATTGTAGACGTCAATATATTTTCCTATAAACTTGGTCAAAATTAGACAAATCTAAATCGATTTCTTAGCACTGCAGTTAAGTATCTTGGGTGGGGAATGGAACAGCAGAATCTTTGTATTGAGCAGGGAAATGTATAGCCTGAAAGTTATAATATAGCTGAATCATGTGTCAATGGCCATGGGGGCAGAGCTACTGAAAAGTTGAATCTGCATCAGTGCTAGAGATTTGGTATACTGGATCTAACGAGTAGTAGTAGCAACTAGCAAGTGAGAAGGCCACCGAAAAGCCCCAGCCTAAAACAAGCCCTACCTTCCCAGACCTACCCTCACGGGCTCAACCAGAACTAAGCCAAGCCACACCGAAAGCAAGGGGACCCTACGCCCCAAGGGCGCGCGCGCATCTAGTAGGGTTTGCGGAGGGGAAAGAAGGGCGCGTACCGAATCCGGCGATGAGGCAGGAGGCCGCGACGACAGGCTCCTTCACAACGAAGATCTTGAGCTTCTCCATCACGGCCATGGCTGCCGCTTCTGCTTCTGCTTCCGCTCCTTCGCTTCGCCTTCGCGTACCTCGCCAGCCGCCGTCGCTGGAGACGAGAGACGGAGACAGGTCAGTGCTATTCCTCCGATCTGTGGACGTGGGCCCGTGTCTTGTGCCGAGAGACTTCCACGCCCAGCCCATCTACAACAGTGGTCCAGTGGGCCACAATCCATTTTGTTGTTGGGCTGAGGCCCATACCGATGGCCGTAGCCCGTAGCGGAGAAAACGAAAGGCTCACGGCATATTCAGAGTTGCCGGTTGGAATATTCGTCTCTCGCGCGCGAATATTTTGCCGGGACGAGCGAATCTACCGTCGCTGCGCCGCTTTCTCGCGCTCCGCCTTTGCCTTGGACCGCACGCACGGGCACGGGCCACCCTTCTCCTCCTCTCTCTCTTCTTCTTCACCTACTTGCTCGGCGCGCGTAGAGGACGGGACTTCTTCTTCTTCATCACCTGCTTCCTCTCCACGTCGGCACATGTGTCTTGCTCGACACCGGCAGTACCGTGGCCCGTGGGTCGTCGCCGGACGCCGGGCACCGGCACGCGGCAGCGCAGCCGTCAACCATGATTTTACCAAAGGTTAGTACCCCGCACTACTGTCTCGTGTGTGGAGCATCAATTCATTCAAGTATATTTTTTATGAGATGAGTTGCATGGTGTTCGTGTTCGTGCTTTGGTCCTCTGATGAAATCCTCTCGTTAGATAGGTCTGCAGCACACCATGATATGATGCAATCGTTCGCCAAACAAAAATGATGCAGCCAATTACTGAATTATTACGCGTGGTTTTACCATTCTTTTATTCGTCTGGTTATGTTTGTCGCCTGACGCCAAAACATCTAAGCTGCCTTTTAATTTGCCGGTTGCGGACTCTGATTCAGAATTCAGAGTCGGACGAACCTTGGCAGATAGTATAATGGAAGCCGCATGGGCAGCAGCTCGATCAACTCATCAGCATAAGCATGCACACGACCACCTTCCTTGCACGGGAGGCCGCCGTCTCTTATTAACCAGGTCAAACATGGAAACACAGTTCGGTTCATGCAGGTGAGATGAGACACATAAGAGAGATCTGAATGAAATAACAACAGGACAAGGAAGACGCCCGGGTTCGGGAAATGTATAGCTCAATTTGGCCATCGAGTTAATCAGTTACCCCTAAAGTTTACTCTCTACCATATCGGATGTTTGACACATGCATAGAGTATTAAATATAGACTAAAAAATAACTAATTACACAGACTGCGACTAATTTACGAGACAAATTTTTTAAGCCTAATTAATTCATGATTTGACAATATGTTGCTACAGTAAACATATGCTAATGACGGATTAATTATGCTTACCAAATTCGTCTCGCGGACTGAGAATTTCGTAATTTATTTTTTTATTACTATTCAAACACTCTCATATAACACCCGATGTGATATTTCTTAACTTTATTGTCTGGATTTAAACACCATCCGATGAGCACTGAGCCATCAGATAAGTACATCAGACGTGGCACTGGATGGTCCGCGGGGTAGCAGAGATAACTGATAAGGCACGACATTTCAGGGGTTTCTCCGGTGTGGTTCTCCAGCGAACTGAAGCTAACGTGTCCGGAAGAAAAGCTAACACCTTGTTCGCTCTTATGATACAGTATTTTTCAATCACAACAAAATAACATCAACCGACTTATAAGCCACGGAACCAATACGGTGTAAGGCCTTGCCGCCGGACAGCCAGTCTGTGCCGAGCAGGACAAAGGTTAGTGTTTTCGCCGCTGGAAGACAGGAAGAGGCAAATGGTGTCATCATCATCGACGCCGGCGCACTGGCCCTGGTATTGCTTCACAGCGCTCTTATACAGTTATACGTTGTGTAAATCCAGTTCTGTGGCTGCCATTCTCGTTCTCTTTTCAGTTTTACGCTATTAGAGTATATGCGAAAATGTATTGCAGCATCTGCACTCTCGCATTGATCTCTTTGTATGCCTTTTCTTGCAGGGAAAGAGATGTCCAGAGAAACCGTACCACACGGAAATAAGCAACAAAGAATCGATTTGAAATCTCGGTATGATACAGGAGCATGGTGCCATGGTGGACAGCACCAGCGCAGCGTGTGGCCGTGAAATAGAAGCAGCAAGTTACAGATACTCTTACAGGTACATCCGTACATACATCAACCGTGCCCTAGACACTTCTGTCCAGGTGCGCACTGATTTTTTTCAGTGTTTCTGTGTCGTATTATTCTGCTACTAGAAGCAGGCCGAGTTTCACATGTGTTGGAGATGCTACTCTAAAATCATCATCTCCAGGTATTGGGGAGAAGTGAAAGTATCATCTCGACTCCCACAAGGTCTCAAGAATAATTTACATGCCTTTGGTTCTGCAGAATCAGAGGAAGTTCAGTAAGTGCAAAGCCACAGGACAGAGACTTTGTTTCTCTGGTATTGCAGGGGAGCAAAATGGATATCCTTTTACCTTATGACTCAATTGCTGCAACCCTTGCTGGCTTCATTACCCTTACAATGTTCCTCATGTGCTCAAACCCCATGACTATCACCCCTATGAGATAAAGAAAGCTTAGTTGCAGCTTGCCAAGCAAGTTATAGACTGCTACGGCGGCATTTGCACCTTCATCTGTTTGCATCGTCACAGTAATGGGTCTCGCAGAAATGAGTGCCCCGGTTTCTGATGAGGATGCAGCGTAAGAGATTTGCTCCGGAACAATTAGCCTTGAAGAGAAATCGGAGGTGTTTAGTCTTCTTAAGCTTACCCGATGTGTTCTCAGGCTGGGCTGACCACTCTTCAGGTTTCATCGCAGATTTGGTGGCCTTTATCAAATCCATAAGTGCATTGTTCACCTGGAATTTATAGAAGGTTACATGAGTTCCTACTGTGCTTTTCATGTAAACTGTGAACAAGCGAGAAAAGGAAACATCAGAAAGCTCAATGAGATGATTTTTCTTTTTTTTTAAAAAAAAGAGCCATGGAGAAGATAACCATGCCAATGGCACGGCACCCTGGTTGGTTTGCTCTCAACTTATCTCCTATAAAGATATAATATGCTCGGTCAATTGTTTCAGTGTTTCTTAAAGTCCTTTTAGTGTGTTTTATCTTAAAGTCCTTTTAGTGTGTTTATTACTGTCCAAATATTCTCCTAATTATCCATAACTTGAGTATGTGAAGGCATACATATTTATGGTGTTTAAAACAAACAGGTAAGAGAGGTGCTTGTTATATTGATGAAGTATACATATTTAATAGTTGATTGATATGATAAAGCAGTTGAACCCAGACTTGGCGAAGTCTACATATTCACTACAACTAATTCAGTTTGCAACTCCGCTGCACTGCTTGGAAAATTCCTAGAAACAAATGTCATGTTTGCTTGGTTAGTACAAACTATTATGCCAAGTTCATGCTAAGCCACATGCCTCGGTACTTAAGACAACTTGATTTCAAATACAACTTTTGGTAATCTATTGGATCCTATAATTATGTTTCTCTGCTAGACATAGTAATGGAGAACAGTTATCTTCAAAAGTATCGTATTATGTTGCACATTTGGTTGGGATGAATGATGCTTTCAGATAACTGCAAGGTCTGATGTCATCTTAGTTCACTCAGGAAAAAATATATGAAGAAGTGCAACAGATTTTTCTCACTCAATCCTACTGCCCAGTTTGGTAGACAAAAGTTGAGTATTAGAAAGCTCAAATTTCTCAAGAACCTTGCAGACAGCCACAGCTTTTGATGTTATCTTTGTTGGCCAGGAATTGTGGAATTTTCCACCACTATGCAACAGTTTAAGAAATCAATCATATCAATGTCCTTCCTAGTATTTCAGTGGCACATTTTGCTGTTTTATCAGAGTCCCGCACTTTACCTCGTCTAGACTTGTCTTTCATGGTTCTCTAGATGTGCAACATGCTTGAGCATGTGATAAGCCAGTAAGCCACATACCTAGATACTTGAGGCAACACGATTTCATTATAACTTTTGGCAACCTACTGGATCCTTTAATTCCATTTTTCCATGCTAAACCTAGTAATGGAGAACAGCTTCCTTCAAAAGTAACATGTATTCTGTTCTGCTTTTCCGTGCTAAACCTAGTAATGGAGAACAGCTGCCTTCAAAAGTAACATGTATTTTTTCTAAAAAAAAAACATGTATTCTGTTGCACATTTAGGTGACGAATGATGCTTTCAGATAACCGAGATGTCTGGTGTCATCTTAGTTCACTCAGCAACTCTGGTATTCTGTTGCACGTTTAGGTTTAGGTGATGAATGATGCTTTCAGCTAACTGAGATGCCTGTGTCATCTTAGTTCTCTCAGCAACTCTGGAAGATATGCACAAGTTGCAACAGAAATTTCTCATTCAGTGCTCCTTCCTAGATTGGTTAGAGAAAAGTTTAGTGTTAACTAGCTCAATTTTGAGAAACTTGCCGAGAGCCACAGTTTTTTATGTTACCTTCATTGGTCAGCAATTTTGGGGTTTTTCAGTTAAAGCAAATAAGCAAAACAATCAATCACATCAATGTCCTCAATATTTCAGTAGCACATGTTGCTGCTTTAAGAGAGTTCGCATTTTACCTCATCTGGTCTTTCATGGCTCACTAGATGTGCACCATGAAGTTCTACCATTCTTGCAACAGGAAGAAGCCTTTCTGCTAGACGTTTTGCATGGCACAATTGTGCAATGATATCATACCTGAATTTTATAATGTAAGCCACATGAAATGGATGTGTACTATTCTCCAAACAAGAATATCCACTGTTAACAAAACTAACCTTCCATGAATAACTGAAACTAGAAAACCAGCAGATCGTATTGTATCTAGTTCCTTAGTAGTCATATTGTGAGTCCAGCATGCATTGACTTGCCCTTCAAAACCACAATTAGATTGCATCCCTGTCGACGATATGCCTTTCACATATTCCTGAAAGCAAACACAGTACAGATGAACCTTCCATGTATGTTGTCTTCATTTTAGTGTATACCTACTAATATCTTTATATTATAAAGTGGGGTATGGAAAACACAAAACCATAAATTCACAACAAAAGAACTGTTCAGGAAGAATCACAACAAAAGATGACCAAGTCAAAATCACACGATTCAAGGGTATGGGACAAATACAAATACGTTCGTATTCTAAAAGGGTATGCACAACATAGAAACAAATTCACAACAAAAGACGACCTATCCAAAATCACATAATCCAATGGTATGGGACAGCTGAAAATAACGCAGGCAAGTTTTCAATGTGTAAAAGCAACCAACGTCATCCAGAATACCCAAATCAACATGAGAGAAACATGACATATCACATATGCCAGTCTAGAAGATACATCATCATCAGCAGACTGTATTACAAAGCAACATCAGAAATGTGATATCACTCACTTGATAGAGGATCATTCTTCTGGTACACGACCCAACAGTCTCCTCAAGGTACTCCTGCATAGTTGCATTGTTAAATCAAACATATCAACAGTGATTCAGTGAATCTGAAAAGATAAAAACTAATTTTTCATCAAACAGGGAATGATGACGGATGCATTATTACTTTATTAGTTCCTTACCTTCGTATAATGTGTTTCCAAGTCCACGAGGGCTCTCTCCTCTGGAGTTTTTGCCCTTAAGAAACGGAATGCAAGAGATAGCATCTGCCCATCTACCTACAAAAGCAGGGGAAAAACTTAACTCATGCCACGAATAGATGAAAATTATAATCAGTGCCTCTTGTAGCATTTCCTTTGCATTTCGCAACATTGAGCATATTCAATTCCACAAATATGTACCAAAAAATACCAAAATTCCAGTACCTTTGGGAAGCATTGAAAGCCACCTCCAGTGACATTAAGCAATGCCAGCGAACATAGCCTGTGAGGCGCCATTGCCGCTAGCTTGCAAGCAATCATGGCACCTGATTGCAGAGATAACAGAGTCAATGCCTAAAGCTCACACATTTGAAAAGCAGGACCCCAAAACTGAAAGACGCACAAAAACATGACTTACCCATGGAGTGGCCAAAAACGTGAGCTTTCTTCCACCCCAAATGATCCATCAAGGCCAAGGCATCCATCGCCATGATTGCCGTCCTGCCAGATATGAGAGACCACGTTTCAAATCAAATACTCATCAGACCCACCGCCCATTTTGACTTTTCCTACACATGAGCGCGTGAACGTGATGGAAGATATGATTCCCCCCATCTTTCTTCCCCATCACTCATTTCCTCGTGAAAGCTATTGTGCCAGGACGCGAGTGAAATGTGGAATTTTTCTCGTCGAAAGCTACATGCAGGCTGCAGCTGCTGTCGTCCACCAGATCCCCGATCGTTCTGGATCGCAAGGGGAGGAATCAATCCTGTGGTATCTACGGAACGGTACGGCCCACCAATCGTTCCAACCATTGGAACCGACGACGGGGAGGGAGCCAGGGAGGATTCGGATCTGTTGGAGGAGGGGATACTCACGAGTAGAAGGATTTGTTGGGGAGCACGGCGCTGCGGCCGACGCCGCGGTTGTCGAAGCAGCAGACCTCGATGCCATCGCCGCCGCCGCCGGCCTCGTCCGCTTCCGCGGGGGCCGCCTCCGCCGCGCTGCCGGCCTCCTCGTCCGGCCGCACGGCCTCGTCGTCGGCGGGCTCCAGCGACCCGGTCAGCCCCTTTATCTGCGGGCCCCACGAGTCGTGCGTCCCCGCCAATCCTTTGATTCCGACCCAAACCAAACACCAAACAAACCGTTTCCCATCTCAGCGAAAAGCCGAAAGAGAAACCAAAAAGTAATCTTTTTTACTGCTATACTACACGAGAAAAAGGAACAGGATTCCTCTTTCTCCTCGGCCCGGGAGAGATCGGCGGCGTGCGTACCGATGATGAGGAGCACCTTGGTGACGCCGCGGCCGTAGCGGCGGTAGAAGAGGCGGACGCCCTCCCACTTGTCGCCGTCCGCGTACCTGCCCACCTCGCAGTAAGGCATTGCTGCTCGTCGGCGACTCTCCTCCTTCCTCCTACCACTCCTGATTCAGCTAGCGCGGCAGCGCGCGTCTCGTTCTCGTTACCGCCGCCGCCGCGCGCGGTTGGTTTTTGGTTTTGACCGTTTCGAGGGGATCGGTCCCGGGGGAATGGGCGAGGCGTCGTTGCCTGGAAGGCAGCTGGAAGCGAGAAAATGCGCAGAGGAAAAACGAGGGGAGCGGAGCTGCGGAGGAAGGGAGCCGGTTATTTATAGCCGTCGGAGTCGGAACAGGCGCCGCAGCGCGAGGGAAAGGAAGAAGGCGCGGGCGAGAGGGTCCGATCCCTTCCGGAGCCCGGAACACGTGGACGGAGACACGTCGGCGCGTCGCCGTCGGCTGAGTCAAACCGGCCGTGCCGCGAGGATAAATAAACCGAGAGGCTGAGGTCCATGTTTTTCGGGGGGCAATTTCATTTCGTTTGGTCGCCGGCTTTTTGGTGCCTGCCGAGTTGGACTGGATAATGAAGCGAGTAGCGAATTAGCGATTGGAACGCTGTATTGTGCTTTGCAGTCACAAGCGTGATCGTGCTGTGACTGACGAACCGGTGAGTGATGCCTACCTAGTCCTGTTATCCTGGAACGGAGGGAACCGGTTACATTGGACGGCCAGCTTTCACAGCGACCAGGAGCAGATCGTGCATCATGCGCGGGGGGTCCATTCATTCATTCATCCGGAATAAGTTTTCCCCGAGAAGTGGACAAAAGGAAACTTCTGAAAAACTGCAGACGGAAGTTCAGGTTCTTAATCAAAGAAAGCAACCTGATGTTTTGATTGCTCAACGATAACAGTTTAAAGCTCAATAGGATTCATTATATCTGTACTCGCTTCTACAGATAAATGCTAATTTCTGCACGCAATTTAAGCGACACGTTTTTTTTTTTGTTCCAACCTTCCAGGCTTCTTGCAGCTCGCTCCGTCCATCACTGACCTCCGGCTCGGACATCATATCGCTGTTGACTGTTGAGTGCCGAAGAGCAACCGCACGCGGTACGTTGTAATATTCTTGTGATGCCGGCAGCCGCACAGTGCGCGCTGACGCGGCTGTCCGATCGATCGGGTGGGAGGAGGCGCGGGCGTCGCCGCCCCGGGGCCCCGCGCACCGTCCCTGTCGTCCGCTGCGGCCGCACCTGGGTCCCGTCGCGGGCGCTCGGTGCCGCCGGCCCGCCCCCGCGCTCGGTGGTGGTGCTGTTGTTGGTGGCTGCTTCCGCTTGGCACCGGCACGGGTGCGCGGGGCGGTGATCCATCAGACGACCATCGCTGCGTCAGCCTCGGCCTGACGCGAACCACCGGCCGTCCACGACGGATACCTTTCGCTCCCCTCTGTTTCTTCTTTTTGCAATTGGTAAACCTTTGTATACGCGCCGTCGTGCTTTTCGTGTCGAGCGTCTCGGTCGGCGTCAGAGATCACCCAAACAGGCAAACATCCACCGAATCGGTGGGAATCCCCTGTCAGGCCCGCAGAGGATCGTGACCGGGAAAGAAAGAATCCAGTCATCATCCATCCAGGGTCTGGAATTGTTTCTTCTTTTGGAGTGCACAGCACACGGATGATGGATCGGACATGTCAAAAATGACGTGCGGTGGAGGCGGCTTGGAGTCAAGGATTTTCTATCAGGAATTTCGACCAAGTCCTTCCGCGCGTTTAGAAGTAGGCCCGGTCGCCGCGCCACCCCGGGCCCATTGTGTCGATGACGCTATTAACGAGTAACTGGGGTTGTTAGACCACCTCCAAACTCTGGACTCTGGTTCATGAGATCTTGCCAGTTCCTACACCATGCATCTTAAACGGAAGCGTAATCCAAGTTAGCACGATCAGAATGCCCGTGCATATCCGGACCGGGCGCAGAAATGGCCAAATGGGGAAACTCGTGATCCACGAGATCCTGCATCGTGTGTTGTCGCAGGTCACACAGCTCACGGCGGCAGAGCGTACGTTTCCTGCGCCGACGACCAAACAAACTACCAAACAAACTAGAGATCCAATCGGGAGACGTCTCCGGGAAGGAAAAACGGTCGACCAGACACGCACACACAACTTGAAATCTTGAATTCGCTACGATCAACACCGGCCTCCATCCAGATCCCTTCCAGCGATTTTCTTCAGTTTCCAGAGAGCCCGGCACGGACGTGGCCTGCGCACTGCCCCCTGTGCCGTTGCTGCTCCATTATAGCCTAGGACACTATACCACGAAACTATCATTTCTAATGCAATTTCTTTTGTCTAAAGTCCAAATAAAAATCAACCAATCATTTTCATTGTGTTTCTCCCCCGAATCCGGATCCTCTACACGACTACACCTGCTGTGGCCATCACCATCATGCTCACCACGGGAAGGGAAGGAGATGTGGCCATCTCGCCACGGGAGTGAAGGAGAAGGAGATGCGCCATGCTCGTCACTGGAGGGAAGGAGATGTGGCCATCTCACCATAGGAGTGAAGGAGATGCGAGAACCGCAGGGAGACCCAGCGTTCATCGCGAGAGGGAAGCGGCCGCTCGCCGCGAGCCCGCGAGTGGGAAGGAGAAGCGCAGGGAAGCCGCTCGCCGCGAGAGAGAAGGAGGCCGCTGGCTACGAGGTCCGCGGCGCAGAACGACAGGGCGATGCGGCGGCGCGCGAGGTCCATGGCGGCGGGCAGCGGCGTGCGAGTTCCACGGCTGTGCGTGCAGCGCCACCGGGGCGGCGGTCGCGCACGCGGGGCGACCGCGCGAGACTCCATGGCGGTGGCGCGCGAGATCTCGTCGGTGGCCGCGCAAGCTCCCGTCGGCGGCCGCGTGTGCGAGGCAGCCGCCCGAGGCTCCACGACGGCGTCGCGCCAGATTGCGCCGGTGGCCGCGCGAGGCTCCGTGATGGCGGCGGCTGTGCGAGCTCCCTTCGGGGGTCGCGAGGTCTGTGACGACGGCGGGCGCAGGAGCGGTGCTTCCCAGCGGCCAGCGGCGCGCACACGATCCGCAATGGCAGATAGAAACCGAGCGCTCCTCCCCAACGCTGCATTGGATGGTTTCCACGGCCTCGATGCGCGTGTAGACGTCGAGTCTGTCTGTCTTAGAGTCGGTTTTTTGTTTTTTCTCCGTCTTTCTTCCATAAATATAGTGCCACGTCGAAAAAAAATAAATAAATAGAGGGTTAATAAATAGTCATAGAAACTATTGTGAAATCTGCATTGGGAGTGCCCTGATGAGGTCACGTATAGGTGCCACGTCCATGGCTCATGACGAGGTTCGTAGCGACGGGCCGTCTCGTATGTCTAGTAGGGCCCTGTTTGTTGGACTTTCGACCGTGTAGTGTGGTACACGAGCTGCGGTATGTAAAATTAGACTACCCGTTCAATGTCGTGGTAGATGGGTGTTGTGCATCGTGAGAACCGTAGACGACGTAGGATATTTTGTGGTTTTTTCAACCATTTTTCGTGATCAACCATCAGAAATTTGATTTTAAACATATCCAAACATGGTCATAAACATTGCCTCTCGGTGCATGTGGAGTGCTATGAATCGACTCTGCCTCTCGATATTTATGTCCTTATAGATGTGGCATTGATCATGACTAACCTCAACCGACCCTCGTCCAAAAATGAACATATAGTGTGTTCATAAAAAGATCATTGGGATTTGTAACCTGACTCGATCCTTGAGTGACATAGGAAAAACATCTCCTCCAACAAAGACGCTCGACTTCCTATGCATGCTGCATTCACCTCCCTCTCAAAATATGCCTACACAACGCGTAGTTTCCGTGGAACTTCTCCAACACTTTACCTGCCATAGCTACCCCCCCAAGGCGCTAAGGCCATGCCTTCCCGACTCAATGTTGTCCAATAAGGCAATAACTAAGTCACACTATTCTGCCTGGTCATGGTCATATATGCCCTCATCATGCATCGAGACGCGCAACCATATCTCATTGGCACCAAGAGCCAAGCCACACGACAAAACTTATGCAACATCACATCACATGCTTCATGGCATAATAATAGTAGAATATAAATATCATGTGTACGCAAAGTAAAGCATGCTAAACCTATCATTGAGTATGCCAGGGCAATAGGTTATGACAAGGCAAAGGATCAAACAATGTCTACAATGCCAACCTATCACAAGATATAATAGGATTACAGCACCGATACATCTAGTTGTATGTTTAATAGGGTTCTATGAGTGGGTGGGTATGAAAACCCTCATTGTTAGGGAGGTCGTCACCCTGGTTCTCTGTGTACTCAGGGTCCGCTAGGGCCTCCTCCTAAAAATCCTCTAATGCTGAAGGCACGGAAAACAAGATCAAGCAAGTAAACAACCATAGATATCACATAAAATCGAATCCCAGCAAAAATATAAGTTCAAAGTGCTTATATAGGTAGTTCTATTACAAACAGTTCATTTTTAGGAAAAGTTTGATAACTAGCTATGATTTTTTAAAGATTGACACTCATTTTTCTACTTCTGAAAAATACATAACATTTTTAATATTCTAGAAAAATTCTTGAGATGACAAGTGATAGCATATGGTGGCGCCTCGTGGACATAGGGAGCGAGAGGCTGACAAGTGGCTCTAGGGGCAACGGTTGTTAGGATCTGTATCGTTCGTTGTAAACCTCTTCTTCACCATTTCGTGTGCTTTTTCTTAACTATTGACAATTGCAGAAGACATCATCGTGTAGAAGACACTCGCAAACAACATAATTTCCGGGGAGGCACTCACAAGTCAATGTCACCATACAAGTTTATCTTTGGCAAGCCGGAGGGCGTGGCCACGTCCAAGGGTCTGAGGCGTCCAACAAAGTCATCCTTGGGAAGCCTAACGTGATGTGAACCTTGAAGGGTGCGACAGGCGCGAAAAAAAATCATCCTCTCAGATTGAATGTTGAAAGGACTAAAATGCCCCTATTCTGTAGAGATGTGTCCACAATTTAACCCTAAAGACTGCGTGGGGTTCTCGAGCAGAAGCAGCCGCCACGTCGCCCGAAATTTTTCTGACCGTCTGATCTTCCAGTCGTGCGTCCCAGATCACTTGGAGCGGATTCTGTCGAAAGCGGATTCTCGCGCTCCTCTCTGGCTTCTCCCGGTCCTCCTCTGCTTCCTCCACTTCTAGGAGGACCAGCGCCGCCGGCTCACGGCGCGAGGCGCTGGCGGGCCGCGACACGCGCGCCACGACACATTGACTTGCAGACTAGACTACATTTGCTTTTGACACTTTGTCTGATTGCCCAGCTCACTAAACTGTCGGGTGGACTAGAAGGTGGTGCTGACCCTCCAGCATTCCAACGAGCTGAAAAGAAAAGACTTGAAGCTGCTAAAAGGGCTGAAGAAGCTGCTGCAGTTAAGGAGGCAGCGCTGGAAGAATCTCTTTGCGACACACAGAATTCTGAGGTTGAGAGTACCATAACTCCAGAAAGGTAGTATACAGATTGGCATGGCCTCAAGTTCTTTATTTTTCTCTTTTGGGGCAGGTGGGGTGGGTGTGGTTGGGGTGGGGTTAAAAAAAAACTAGACCTACGAGGGTATGACCACCCCAGGCATTACATTAAGAAGAAGACATTCTTACGCTGGTCCAGAAAACCCCCAAACCCTTGTCCCACCTTACACAGCGGCACCGTCGCCTTGTGAGAACGGATCAGTCCTTAGACCTGTGCTTTGGCGTGGGACAGACGAGGGGATTTTTTTTAACCCCAGCCTGAAATTCGCTCCCACAGGGAGTCAAACCCAAGACCTGAGGAGTGCCGCCGGGACGCTCTAACCAGTTGGACTAGAGGCCCTTTGGCGGGGTGGGGTTCACTCCCACTGCAAAGTAACGGTACCTTATAATCTGTGTGAATTTATGGAAACCTATCCTTATTATAAGTTTGTATACGAAAATAAATTTAGTTGACAATGAAACTGGCTATTCTTATATGTAGTTTCAATCTAATCTTTGCAGCCTGCGTGAACAGAGGTTTTCATCCTCCCTACTATAAGAATCTATATAGGTTAGTTTCATAAGTTGATATCTTTGTTTAGTACTCCTCCCATTCTGAATTATAAGACGTTTTAGCTTTTCTAGATGCATAACTTTTGTCATGCACTTAGATATATGCTATGTCAGCATGTCTAGATACATAGTAAAAATAATGTATCTAGAAAAGACAAAATGTCTTATAATTTGAAACAGAGGGCATATATTTTTTGTGCTAGGCTCATAGGTAAATTGTATTAGAAGGCGTCGCCTAGGGGAAAGGCGTGGTTGGACACGAAAGGTGTCCTATTGCCTTATTAGACGTGCGATGTTACCTGTCGATTGTCACCTATGCGACCAGGTGATGATTAAGACGCGAACAATTCTTTCCCTGAGTGGAACTTATTTTTCCTGCAGGTAGAACATTTTCTACTTACCCCGTAATGGTGGACCATTCTTCTCGTCTAGGAACAGCTAAATGTTCTAACAGAAAGAAAAGAAATGTCGTAGTGCTTGGCATTGGCACAGCCCTCAGTGGTGGCCAGGGGTTGGGCTGTATCTATTCCATTCAAGCCATGCTCTGCCAATTGCTGTCAGCAACATAAATACAATTTTACCGTTAAAAAAATATCTTTTCATTGTTTTTTGTAGAATGATTTTTTTGTTCTTTGAAAGCGTTATTGGGTGGGTAACAATACTAGGTGGGTACATGAAAGCCACCCCATGAAACGTATGTAGAAGTTTAGAACAATTCCTAAAATAAAGTTACCATATGCTGGCTGGAAAGCTGATGTTCTACAGTTATACAAATTGTCAAGAGGGAACTCAATTTCTAATATGAGATATGAAATTGGCAAAAAAGGATAAAGAGCCAAAAATCGGTATAACTAATTTCCTGCACTGAGTTTGTCTTTTTCTTTATTGTTTCCCAATTTCACGTGTCACAAAAGAAATGAAGTCTGATCTGGAAATTTTGCATGGTTGTGTATTATCACGTCCTCTACATGTGAGATCTTTTTGGGATATTTTAAAACTTCACTTTTATTTTATGAACTTCTTTCCATTTTCTGCCCAGGGCATGATTTCAAATATGTACCCGGGTAACAAATTCATTTGGCACCACTGGGTTGGACCATTTAGAACCCAAACAACAGTACCGTTGTATGAATATTATAGAAGGATTAGCCACTATAATTATTAAATGGTGCATAATCTATTTTTGTTTCTGAATTTTCTGATGTGTGGCATTGTGACATGTTATCTCTTCGATTAGCCTTTTACGTTACAACTCTTGTGCTTATTTCCCACCTTTTTCTGTTCTCTGGGAACACACTTCGAACAGGGTTTAAGCGGACATAAATCTTCAACAATTGGATCTGGCGAACTCATAAATGACTCTGCCGCCCAAGGATCCTGAAGAGGGAGGTTTGTCACTTCCTGAACCCATCATACGCTGCAGTAATTTTAGTTTTCCTGTTTTGAATCCTTCTTTGAAAGCTGAATGCTATCTTACATCCTTAGGTGAAAATTGTGAAGGCAATGCTGATCCAGAAAGCCTTTCTGACATCGACGATGTAGAGGTGCTTTCTCAATGAGTCCTTTTATCATATTTTTCAGGATTATTCCATTGCACAAGTAGTTAGAGGTGTAGTGATAACCAAACAAGCCTTTGCAATTTGTTGTGATGCTATCTATCAATTTTGTAGGTTGATTGGTACCTTCACAATGAGGAAGAGACACAATATAAAAAGATCATCTGGGAGGAAATGAACAAAGAATACCTTGAGGTAAGTAACTCCATCTATGGTCGCATTTTTTCATCTTGACTAGAGAATGCAACTATCTGCTTTTTTATGTTTACAGGAACAAGCAGCCAAGGAAGCTTTGGCAGCTGAATTGGCAGCTAGAGGGACTGTTGTGGAAGAGGGAAACAAGAAAGTAAGGAACACTTTTGGGCAATCAAACTTCCTGTTTACCATTTTAAGTTCGTATGATTATCCGTGGCTGTTTCAAAACATAGAAACGAAGACGTAATGAAGACACCAAGAGCTCGACACCTGCTGAAACACCGGCAGAAGCCACATACAACATGCTGAAACGGAAGGTATTCACTTGTGCTGTCACATACAATCCAAAATAAACTTGTCCTTTGAACACTGAATGTACATTCTGAACCTGATGCGCAAACAAACATGAAAGCCTGAAATTCAATTCAACGTCTCTTCTCACAGGGACTTGGTTCAAAGATCAATGAGGGAGCTGTTGGCGAATTGTACAAGGTATGCCTGTTTGTTTATGCTTAAAATTTAGAATCTACAAATTGTATCCTGCCGCGAGTCGAAAACTATTCTGCAGTACTTTTTTAAAGATTTTTTGTTGTGTAGCTGATTTTATTTTGAAAAACTAAATGAACTAACAACACTGACTCTGTAATCGTCCATTATGCTACATTTTTCTGACCCGGTGGTGATTGATTCTGCGAGCGGACTAGAGATGAAGTTGGCAGCGCAAGTAAGGAAGAAGAGATGGACTTCGACGCACTGTTGGGCCGGACAATGCTGATGGTGAAACAGTTGATGATGGTTACAACTATGGGGGCTATAACGACGATGGCGCAGAAGCCTACAATGGCATTGACGATGATTCTGATTTCTAGGCTGTAGCAGCATTTGCCGAACGGCAAAGCTGACCAGCACGGGCAAGATTCTTCATTTGTACATTATATAGTTTCTTTTGTTTTGGTTAAGTTTCGACGATTATTATGGAGATATTGTATAGTCAACATAGTTTTGCTTTGTATAATAATGTTTAAAACTAGGTTCTGCCTGATTGTAGTTGTAACTGACTGTAAGTCCTGTGTGCTCAAGCGCCTAAAGGGCATTGTACATCCACCCCAAAGAATTGCAAGTGGTGATGTAACATTTGTATTCATAATAAAGGACTTGGGCCATCTTACACGAAAATGCATTCATTTGGTCATTTGAGCAAACTGCCCAGCCCGGGCTTCCTATGGGACCCCATGCTGAAGCGGCGTGTTGCGGGCGCCCAAAGTTGAGGAAGTTTTCCATGCGGAGACGGCGTGTGATAGTAGGCTGGCGAGGAGCTTAGTCACGGTTTGGTAGCTAGAGCCTATCCTATCATAGAGGTACCGGAGGCTGAAGCCGTCTCGTTTGACCCTGACCTGAGCTGATGCTTGCCATTCTTTCTCTGCAATCAGAGTTGAAGTCACAGAAATATATCGTAGATATAAAGGGTTCTGTTTGAGTGTTTCAAACTCGAATAGAAAATGTTGCTGCTGGTTGTTTAAGCTTCTGACCGGGCAAGGCTAAGCTCCTAGAAAGTTTCAGAAACGGGGAAGCGAAATGGTACAAGGACAAGGCAGCGGTACAATTCTGTATCTCATCTCCAGTTGTGCTGAGCCTAGCAGCAGGAAACGACGTAGCACCGTTTCCAGCCTCGAGATTTCAGATATTCTGAGAGTTCCCCTTTTTTAGGAAAATAGTGGAGTTTTTTTTTCCTTCCTTTTGGAACGCTGGTCGTTCAGAATTAGAAGGTGGCTAGTGATATGAGACAGCCAAAATTTAGCACGTCACCTGGAAGATCCGGACGAATTTCAGAGACGGTTGTCCTGAAATTGGAGTGTTCTTTCTGAATCATTGGCGTCAGGCAGACCAATCTCAGGGTAATCAGGTGGTGCACAACAATGATAGGTCCAATTTTTTTTACAGCGATCCCACTGAGAACAGTATTAAATTTTAGAGACTACGTGAGAATCGAAGAGACATTTCGTACATGGTTTGAGAGGTCATCAGCACAGCAGTCAACTGACGGAACATCACCATGGCACGGGGAGACTTTTCCCCACCTCAATTGGACGTCTGAGCCGTTGCGGGAGCTCGCCGGTGAGCACGTCGCCGGCGGGAGCACGCCGTGGAAGAAACAGAGAAGGGGGCGAGTTGAGCAGCGCAGCCCTGCACCCGGTGCACATGAGCCGAGCCGAGAGGGAAGGACGATGGACCTGGTCCACCATGGACCCTGCCTTAGGTCCATGGACCGTGAACTTGGGTCCACCGTGAGCCGCGCTGACGTCCACAGCCAGGAAATGAAGCCCAGTAAGAGCCCAACTGCGCCACATGGTAGCGCCACAACACGCCACGTGTCCGGGTCAGCCCGGCCCAGACCGGCCCAAATCTAGCCCTGTCCAGGCCCAGTTTGGACCCGGCCCATGTTGGCCGTTGACCGGTCAACGCTGACCGTTGACCTGGCCCCACATGTCAGTGGCACAGACACACTGGACCCACACGTCAGATGTTGATGTCATGCTGACGACGTGATGACGTCACGCGAGACCCACCTATCAGTAGCAGCACGGCCAAGGTGACGTCATGCTGACGTCACGCTGACATCAGCAGCCCTGGCCCCACACGTCAGTGACCCTGACCGTTGACCGTAGACCGTTGACTGACGTTGACCTTGACTGGACCCACATGTCAGTGACCCAAGAGCCCCTGGACCCACCTGTCGAAACTGACTACATTGATGACGTCAGCTAGACCCCGCCTGTCAGCACGGAACCGAGACAATGACGTCATGCTAACGTCAGCATGCCACGTGGACCAGTCTCAGCGTGACACGTGCCAGCCCAGGATTAATTCAGCCTTTTTCATTTTCAGAGATGGATTTAATCTTCGGAAATTCATAACTAATTCATATGACCTCAGAAAAATACAAAACCAGGACCAAAATTCATCCAAAATCAAGCTCTACGCAATGAACCCATGTTTGAGTACATTTGGCTCTTTTGAATTTCTATTGCTTCTTTGTGCCATTCTATAGAAGTCGCTAACGCGACTATAATGCAATCGTTTGTAGACTCGGAGGAGAACCGGACGGACGAGGATCGTGAGTACCGTGAGGAGTACGGAGACGACTACACTGAAGGTGCCACATCCCACCCAATATCGTAGCACCTATTACGCATGGCTAAAATATAAATGCTAGTGCTTTACTTTATTGTTATGATCATACTACGATAGGACTTGCATGGTAGTATACTTTCTTGATGGCCTTTACCTTGACGCAACCTTACCACTGCTCACCCTGCTATTAGGCTAGTGACTAGTCACACGCTTGCTATTATATTTCATTGCTTATTACTTCTACTATGCTTGCACTACATTGATGCGTGGTGGAAACTGGTGATTGGGGAGAGTGTTGCGTGTGTGACTTGGGTGCGTGGAGGGTGAGGGTTGTGTCGACCAAGTTGGAGTATCTGACGAGCACTGGGCAAGTCTTGCAGTGGGGTGCTACTGGGCACCCCGGAATGGATACTGTGGTGGGTAAATGGTATATGAGGTGGCCCTGGGTGTGATCTGTGATGGGAGGAGCCTGTGGTGGAGGTTTGTGGTGGCACGGTAAATGGAAACCCTGATGAAGACATTCTGGCTTGGTCATCCCTAAGAACTTACTAGTACTCAGATTTACCGGGAAGCCTTACGTACCACTCGCCCTATATGGTGCGGGACGGCCGAACTACTTGGTAGGATATTGCCACTACCGCTAGGTTGATAGCGGACAGTGTGAGAAAGGTACGGGGTGTGGAGGATTCCCCCACACCCTTCCGAGACTTCATGGAGACCTTGTGGACCTGGTTCATGACTCACAGTTTCAGCCACCCCAGACCGGACTTGGGGTGTACCAGGGCTGAATGGTAGAGTGGCATTATCCTAGGCTAGCAAGCGGCCGGAATCAGCCCAGTTGACGACGGTCAGCGAGGAAGGCGGATCTTATGGTTATGTAAAACCTCTGCAGAGTATATGGTTGATCGATCGATACATATGCCGACTTGTCGGCTATGGACCTTTCCTGGGTTTCGCTTAAACTAGATAGTGAGATGAGTCCTTTTCTTCCCCTGGGAGTGAGTGTTCGGACGTAGCCAGGGGCTACGGGCCTTGAGACAGTGCCAAGAGGGAGTTGGCCTGTCGACTGAGCGATGGTATGGGTGTGGTATGGTGATGGTGGTATATCGATCCTAGGATCGAAACCTGGCTCTGGAATGGGAATGTGGTGGAATGGGTGTGTGAATGGTGTTAAAACTTGACCAACTGTTATTAAATACTTGATATGCTAATACATAGGAAACCCCAGCCTTATAGGTTCCTTTTGATTATAACCAACTTGCATCCAATTTCCACAAAGCAATGCTCATAGGGTTGGGGGTGGCCAGTACAAATCGTACTGATAAATTTTGGCACACAGGTTCTGCTGAGCAGTATAGCTCCGAGGAGTTTGACGGTTGAGGGGTTCGTTCCTACGCTCGAGTTTGGCGATCTTATCTTTAAGCTATTCGGAATGTATGCTACTTTTGATTCCGCCACGGCGATGTAATAATTTATGTAATTCCGCACTATTTGTACTCTGATATTATCGTTGTATGGATATGATATTCGACTGGAATTTGGGTAATATGATCTACAACGGTCTTATTACACTTCGACACTGTGGATTTCCCTTTGCGGAAATCGGGGTCGCTTCAGTTGGTATGAGAGCCATACTTGACCATAGGACGAAACCCTTAGAAATGGACGATAGAATAGGACGTGGACAGCCCTTCTTTCGGTTATATACCGACTCTGCATTTACTTTTATGCAAGGCTTATCTATTTATTGACCTGCTAACACCTGTTCCTTAAAACTTGCAGATGGCAACGAACATCGACTGGCCGCCTCTATGACTACTACCTCTGGACCACGCCAAGCTTCTCTTCGACCTACGTGAGCTCGGGGGTTTTGCACAGACCCTCTGCCGAGTTCTCGTCACGTTAGGAGTCCCTGATAAGCTTGTCAATGTCACCTGTACCGGGAAGTCAACTCAGGGAGGAGGAATCGAAGGACCAGTTGTCACCTCCGTCGAGTTCCCAGCTAGCACTACCTTACCGTCTATCCCAGCTTTCACTGAGTTGACTATAGAGGACACAGTTGAGGAGGGACTGTGAGCTGTCTCACACAAGGCACTTCACAGAGTGATGAGGGACCACTACGAGCACCTGAAGACGACAGAGTTCCGTCTACTTCCCCAGGCCCTCGACCTCAGCCTTACCCCTAGTGAGCAGAGTTTCACAGTCGGCAGAGTTATCTTTGCAGAAGAGGACAGATGCCTTCGTGTCTCAGCTATCCACCTACTGGAGCAGGACAGGTACGTGACCCAGCTTGAGCAGAAGAGACGTCAGGACCGGGCTCTTCTGTGGGAGTGCCAGGAGCGAGACTCGCAAGGAACACAGGAGCGAGCTAGTCTGCTCGAGACAGTTGCCAAGCTACAGGATGAGCTCAACCATCGTGAAGAAGTCCACAGAGCCGAGGTCGCTGACTTACAGGACAAAGCAGCCAACCTAGGCAACAGGAACTGCTACCTCGACAGCAAGGTATTGGAGTTGCAGAGGGAGTTGGACGACAAGAAGGCCGAGTTCCACCGCAGAGGAGATAGAGAGAGGTCCAAGGGGATTGATATGCTGAAAATCCAATCTCGGAACAAGACCATGACCCAGGAGCTAGAGGAGTTCAGGAAGAAGGCCGTTCACAACCAGGGTCACCTGATCGAGGCACTCAGGCAGAACGAGTACCTACAGAAAAAGTGTGAGAGGACTTGGCAGGCTTGGCAGAAGTC